CTCCAGGAGGGGAGTCCATGAGCGACCTGGTTTCCCTCTGCCTTGGTAGCTGGCCGGTGGGCGGTCCCTGCTCGGCCCTCCTCGCTGCTTCTCTCTCCCCTTTTGTTCCTCCCAGTCACTCCTTCATGCCGTGGCTGCCCGGTGCGCCCCTTTTCTCCACCCCAGCCTCTCTCTCATAAGATTTCCTTTGACTGCAGAAGGTGAGGGAGTGGGAAGGGAGGGACTGGCTCGGGCAAATCCAAGGTCAAACACCATCCTCTCCTGGTCCTTCAGCCCCCTGGCTCTGCCTGGGCCTGGGCAGACGGCCGGGTTGCTATGGAAACAGGAAGCCCCCGCCTTTCCCCGCCCCCAAGGCCTTGGATTTTCTTCCCTAGAGGTCCTTGTTCGCCCCTTCCCTGGCTGTCCCTCTTATCAGCACCCAGACCTGTCCCCTCAGGGCCTGCTGCTTCCCCCTCAGCCCTGTGCCATAGCTCTCAGCACCACCTAATGGCCCCCTCCTTCCTCCTCTACCTTCCCCACCTGGCCCGCCCTTCCCCCCTCCTCTTGCTTGTCTCCCCTTTGTCTTCTCGGCCTTCACTTGGTGGATGGGGAAGGGGTTCCAAACTGTCTCCCACCCCCACCCCCCTGGTCACCTCCTCCTACCCACCCACACGCTGTCCTGTGGCCTCAGAAAACCAGGGCTGGCCATCTGCAGGGAGCCGAGTGCCAGGCTCTGAGGCAGCAGCTGTCTGCGGGCAGCCTGCCCAGAGGGGAGAACAGGGCTGTGTGAGGGTCTCAGTGTGTGCGCCCAGAGGCCCCCTCCCTGCTGCCGGGTGGGCTCCCCCGGGGACAGCAGCCTGGCATTGCCAGCCTGGGCACAGCACGTCCTCAGGACCCTGCACTGCAGAACTGGCTGTGGCTCTTAGAGACCCTTCACCCAACGCCTGCCCCCAGCGCCTCCCCTTCTGAGGGAGGCAGGACCACCTGCACCACCCCCCACAGGTGGTGTCCAGACCCTCTGGTCCCTGCAAACTGCCCTCCCTTCTCTTTCTTCTGCGGTGAAGAGGTGGCCAGGGGACCCCACTCCCTGTAATGCTGATTCATTCTCTAAAAGTGCTCAGTGCCCTCGCATACATTTATGTACACTAAGGTGACCAGATTTTAACATTGGTAAAGCGGGACACCATTGATGAAACTCATATCCTGGCGAAATAGCCACATGGCAGCCGAAAACCGTATACCCTAGCTTGTCGTGCATTCTTTGCAAAAATTGGGACTTTTTAAAAACGCTGCAGGACGCGGGGAAAAATTGTTAAAAATCAGGACTGTCTCACCAAACGCGGGATGTCTGGTCACCTTAATGTACACACACACTCATACACACGTCACTCACCCTCACACTTGCTTACATGTATTCATACACACCTGCTCACACTCACACTCAGACATACACATGCTCACTCACACAGTCACTCATACTTACATACTCACACGTACATACAACCTATTTACCCACCCACATACTAAGACAAATGCGCTCACACATGTACACCCCCATATACATCTATGTACCCACTCAGACATACACACTCGCTCACACACTCACAGACATACATGTGCTCACCCACTCATACATATGCACACATCTACTCACACACACTTAGCCCATGTGTACACAACACTCTCAGGCATACATATGCTCACTCACACACACTCATACATATGCACACACCTACACACACACACACACACACACTGACTTACCCCACGTGCATTTATGTGCATGCACTCAGACATACATGTGCTCATGCACACACATATATAGGTACATGCACACAGACACACGCTCATTCACATATGCTAGCTCACACTTACTCATGTATGTTCATACTTGCTGACACACATCCGCCCATGCACACATACTCACCTCATGTACATCTATGTACACAACACACTCAGACATGATGTACACACATGCTGACACACATGTGCACACACCTATTCACACACGTACACACCTGCTGACTCACCCCACATACATTTATGTACACGCACTCAGATGTACATCTGCTCATGCACACATAGACAGGTATGTGTACACCTATGCACATGCAGACACATGCTCACTCACATACACAGACCTACTCACCCACTCACATTCAGGCACACCCCTGCTTATTCATACCTACACTCTCTTTGCTCACACATGCACACTCATACTTGCACATATACACCCACCCACACTCATTCAATACACGTGGGCTTACACACACACACACACACACACACACACACACACTCATACACAGGCGTCCACCCACAGCCCAGAGCCAAACCTGCTTTTGTGAACTGAGCCCCGAGGGTCCCCAGCCTGGGGCAATGGGTGCTGTGAGCACAGGTTTGTGGGGCAGGTGGGGAGGGGGAGCTAGCTGGCAGGTGGCCACTGGTGTCAGCTCCACCTGTCCCAACTGGTGGACATTCCTGGCCCCCACCCCCACCCCTGCCTCCCACACATCTAACTCTTCCCTGCCAGCCTGCCCCTCTCTTCTCAGCAAGCCTGTGTCCACAGAGGGCCCTGCTGCCCCGCACTGGAAAGAGACTGGGCTCTTCAGCTGTGTGTGTGTGTGTGTGTGTCCTGTTTCCCTTGGTTTCCCGGGGCGAGCTGACAGAGGACTTCGTGGCCCTGGGGCAGCTTAACCATCCGCTGTCAGAGTGAAGAACAAGGCTTAGCAGCGTCCTGACTGGGAAGTGGGTGGGGTCCCCGCGAGGCGGGCTGGCCGGCCAGGGGGTCCTGGCGCTCCAGGTCCAGCCGGGGCGGAGGGGTCTGTGCGAGCCCCGCACTCAGCCGTCTCCCCTTGCCCCCCTACGGCCGCGTCCAGGCAAGGAGGAGTTTGTGGCGACCTTCAAAGGCAACGAGTTCTTCTGCTACGACCTGTCGCACAACCCGATCCAGAGCAGCACGGACGAGATCACGCTGGCCTTCCGCACGCTGCAGCGCAACGGGCTGATGCTGCACACGGGCAAGTCGGCCGACTACGTCAACCTCTCCCTCAAGAGCGGCGCCGTCTGGCTGGTCATCAACCTCGGCTCGGGCGCCTTCGAGGCCCTCGTGGAGCCCGTCAACGGCAAGTTCAACGACAATGCCTGGCACGACGTCCGGGTCACCCGAAACCTGCGCCAGGTAGGGGGCCGGGCCCCGGAGGGGGCGGGGCTGGACCTGGAAGGGAGCCTGGAAGGGGCGTGCCCCGGAGG